GACCTCCACTCCTTCCTATCTAGAGTCATGTCCTCGGTGATGTGAAGCTGAGCCAAGTCCTGTCTAATCACCTCTTCCCAATACTTCCTAGGCCTACCTCTACCCCTCTGCGTACCCTCTACCACCAGACCCTCGCATCTCCTCACTGGAGCGTCTGCGCACCGCCTCTTCACATGCCCAAACCATCTCAGTCTCGCTTCCCTCAGCTTGTCCACCACAGGGGCCACTCCCACCTTCTCTCGGATAACCTCATTCCTAATCTTATCGCTCCTAGTGTACCCACTCATCCATCTCAACATCCTCATCTCCGCAACATGCAATTTTTGAACATGTGAGTTCTTGACTGGCCAACACTCCGCTCCATACAACAAGGCCGGTCTAACTACCACTCTGTAGAACTTACCTTTAAGTTTAGGTGGAACTTTCTTATCACACAAGACTCCAGAAGCAAGCCTCCATTTCATCCAAGCAGCCCCTATGCGATGTGTGACATCATCGTCAATGTCACCACTTCTTTGGATTACAGCCCCAAGATTAGGATATATGAGAAAAAATTGTCTCTTGTTGAATTTGAATCATAGACAGTTTCATCATCAAATCTAACTTCATAATTATTACATAAAATGAAAAATATTTAAAACTTATGATTAAACGCCTATCAAATGTACTTAAAACTTTCAATTAAGTAACACATGCATTTTTTCTTGCTTGTGAATATTTACAAATATACCATCATGATTATCAATTATTCCACCTACAGATGTTCGTGGTTGGATTTGAAATTTTTTTTATAAAAAGTGTTTTATCTTCAAAGTAGTTTTTTTGTCATGTATTCAGGTTTATTGAAATCGAAAGCAGATATTGAATATCGAATAAAAAATATATATATTTGAAGGTAAAACTTTGTAAAGAATTTGTATCAAACTACAAAATGAATTTCTAGAATGTTGGGCATCTTAATACGAAAGGTTCATTTTCATTTTTGTGTCCACTCTGGCAATCATGTTTTGATCTCTTTATCTACCCAATAGTTTTTTTGGGCCGCCATTATGAGCCCATTTGATAAATGTTGAAATCAATTTTCTCTTTTATAAATGAATTAGAGTAAATTTTAGGTTTAACAAACATAAAAATCATATTTATATGTTATAGCTATAGTTTGTATAATTGTGCTCCATAGCAAATTTTATGTTTGTTATGGCTATTAATATGTATATTTCGGTATACATATACAAAAGAAGCAATTGTATACTCTGTTTCGGTTTACATATACAAAAGAAGCAATTGTATAATTTGTTTCGGTATACATATACAAAAGAATCAATTGTATAATTTGTGTTTGTATAAAGTGAGGAAGAGAGAAAGACAAAAGAAAACTGGACAGAGGAAGATTTGTATTTGTATAATTATAAGTGTATAGGATGAAAATATATGTATTTGTATATACAATTTTCTCTCGCTTTATACAAACACAATCGTAATTTATACATTTGTGTTTGTATAAAGTGAAAGAGGCGAGTGAGATCTGGGAGAGTGGCAAGCGAGATTCTCTGGGGAGAGAGACGAACGAAAAGATACGGCGAATGACAACAGTTTGTTACGGGTTACAATTAAATCAAATTGTGGTTATAACATTTAATTTGAATTAATAATTTGCTATTTTATACAATTTTCCCAATGAATTATTACGTATTTGGATTAAAATGTTGAACTTGATGATAAGATGTACGCAGTCTTACTTCTACCTTAGGAGATGTGGGATGGCTAGAGAGACTGTTTTGATAGACCTTCAACTTAAAAGAATATATTTTTTTACGCAAAGTTACAAAAAAAATACGACAATAAAATAATAAGATACAAAGAAAATGAAGCAACAGCAAATATCACACATTCAAATCAATTGATTTTTATTAAACATGTGATTATGAGTGTTGGATAATTTTGAAGATTCATTGTATAGGATAATTATTTCAAGCTTGGAAACCTTAAAAGTAATCTCACTTTGAATATGAAAAAAACTTTTTCAACACTCTATTCAAGTAAGAAAAAAGACTTTACTCCATGACCACAATTAATTAAATAGAATATAAAATAAGATAAAGATGAGATGCATTGATCTTATCCTATGATAACCTAGGCCATAATTAAAGTTGTAAGTTCTTTGATTAGCATGCTAAGAAACTACTTAATTAAACTACACATGCACATCTTAATAGGGTAGTGTACTTTTAACAAAGCAGTTCTCCTCCGTTTCAATTTATATGATTTATTTTTAAAAAAATATTTTTTTTTAAATGACATTTTATATATATTAGTGACAATTTAACTTTTAAATATATATTTACCTTAATGAAATAATTTATAAACAAATATCTTTCTTTTTATAAAATTTCATATGAAATTAAATTATATCACATAAATTATGACATATAGATAGAGTATTAATTATGGCCTAAACCAACTTTTTAGTCCAAAGTCTAAAGTCAATAAGTATGATGGGGCATAGAATTAAGTTTGAAAAGAAGTGACTTCACTAAAATTTGACACTTCATGAAGTTAAAAAAAATTTACTTGAGTAAAAGTTTTATACTTTCCTGACAACTTTCATTCATTCATCTTTTACCTATCATACCATCAACAGTTTAAAAGAATTTAGCAATTCCGTTTGGTAAAAACAGTACAAAGTTTATCAAAAATAATTTTCTTTATCTTCGATATAAAAATAAAGTGTATGTATATATATATATATATATATATATATATATTCTACTTTTTTTAAAAAATTATTTTGCAAGATTATGTTGAGTATGATGATAGTGGTGGTTTGGTAAAAGTAAATGAAAGACAGTAGTGAAGCCATCTTATATGTTATGTTGAGGGTTTCTTCATCGAAAAATTATACTCTACTATTTAATCAAATTAAATTTTTTATTTATATATATGCTATATGTTGACTCCTCTTAATTTTTATGCATATCTTTTTGTTATTTTAATATTTTTAAATAAAATTTCTAACTCAGCCACTTGATTGAAAGTTCCAAATTCAGAACTACTTTGGATCCAACACAGTAACTACAGGATGCAAATTTTACTTTGAATGTTCAAGAACGATAAAAATAAGGACAATTCAGTATATGAAGTATTTTGTGTTTTATCTGGAAAAAAAATTGAACTCCAAATCTCAAAAAGGTGTGATATAAACAGTTTATTTAATATTGTAAACATCAATAGTTGATTCCATGTCTTGAATCCATAGATCTATAGGCTTATACATCACAAGAAATAATTCTAACATTATAATTTCATGCATTCAATTAAAAAGTCAAATGACTCGCTAACAACACGTGAATGGAGCTCATGTAAATGAGTTGAACTGAATTCAATATTTTTACTGCAACACATAGGTATATATATATATAGAAAATTATTAAAAATTTCAACAAAGGTCAAGTTGATAAGAATCTTAAATGTGATATTTGACAATCCATTTCTTAATTTTGAGATGAATAACATAAACTATGTATTATGACTCACATTTCATCATATCAAAGTATTTGAACAATTTCAAATAAT